GATGGATGAGAGCAGGCACAGCAGCACCACAGCCTCTGCAGCCCCGGGTGCTGCCTGACCACACGGATTGTGGAGCTGAAGACCTTGATTTTCCTTCCACTTGAAGAGAGAAAATCACCTCGTCCCTCCAGCATGAGTGGACTGTGTACAGAGAAATTCAGGGGCACAGGTGAGGTTTGTGCTGCTCGTGCAGGCACAGACAGATTTCTGAGCTTGCCCTTAGACCTGCACACAGCCAGGTACATCCAGAATCTTTCCACATCTGCCTCCTTGCTTTTTTCCCCCCCATACTTTTCCATGTTCCCAGAGAAATCAGGAGGAGAACCTGAATGTCTCTTGCCTCAAACTCTGCAGTTACAGGGAGAAATGAGAGGGACTGGGAGGACAATTTCAGCGAGCCAGAGGGTTTGGGTGGTTGTAGATGTGGCACGAGCAGACAGCAGAACACAACGCCCAGAGGAGAAGGGAGGAAGGAAAGAAAACCCGACACACATTCTCCGAAAGAATGTGCCAGAGAGCGAGGAGGCAGGGGAAGGATTCACACTGCTGGATTTCCAGCCCAGGGGAATAAAGCAGAATGGTTCAAGAAACGCAGAGGAAACCAGAAGTGCCGTGAGAGGAGAGGGAAGCAGGCGCTGTCCGCAGCTGCAGCTGCCGCCCTGAGAGCCCGAGCCATGGGAAGCCCCAGAGCCTCGGTGGGGAGGTGAGTGGTTTGTGTTTGCTGACCCACAGCATCCTGCAGCCCTGGGCCCTTTTCTCACATCACCCCTGATGTGAGAGCCCTCGCTGCTGTCCTGCACAAGGCAGCCTGGGGAGACTCTGCTGCACGGGAGATCCCTGGGCTTCACCATCAGCTGTTGGGGATAAACTGCAAGGCAATGTGTAACTGCTTTTTGGGATGGATCCTTTCTTCAGGAGATGAAAGGTAAGTGCTTCATGGCAGGCTGTGGGTTAGCTCTTTACAGCTGATTTTGGGAATTGTTCATGTTGGAACTGGAGTGACAGGACAAGGGGGAATGGGTTCCAAGAAATTCTTTGCTGTGAGGGTGGGGAGGTCCTGGCACTGCTGTGGCTGCCCCTGGATCCCTGGCAGTGCCCAAGGCCAGGCTGGATGGGGTTTGAGCAACATGGCATGGTGGAAGCATGGCACTGAATGGGCTTTAAGATCCCTTCCAGCCCACAGCATTCCTGATTCTCTGTCAGAGATATTTCCAAATGTCTCACAGGGATGTGGCGCTGAGTTCAGTGTTTCTGTGATGGTTTTGGTGCAGTGAGAGCAGCCCTGCTTTGCCCTGCTTTGTACCCAAAGTGGCACTTGCAGCTGCTCTGCACCCACCCTGTCCTGGGTGTCACTGTCCCTCAGGCAGTCACACATGGGCAGAGCTGATAAATAATCCAATAATCCTCAGTGTGGCATTTGGGGCAGACAGCTCTTACATCAGGGAGGGAATTCCACTCAGTGTCATTTAATGTGGTCAGGACAAACCAGGGGGAACAGCTGATTCCAAAATAATGGAAAAACTTCTGCAACTAAACCAGGAAATCACATATAAACTAAAATGTTTGTAAAGCAAAAGATACTTTGCTTCTTCAGCAAGTGAAATTTGCAAGCAATAGTGACAATTCTTTGCATAAATCACTGCACATGTTCATAGTAGGTGATCATTTAGGACATTTTATTTTATTGTAAAGCTCAAAACTCTCAGATATTCTACACATGAAATATTCAAGAGCACTTTCAGAGTGCTGCAAGGCACAATGCACTGGCTGATTGCAGCAGGCAAATTTAATTTTACATTATCTAAGCAACTGGTACGTAACTTTTTAATCAGCAGGATGCTGTGGTGGCTCTGTGAGGGCAGAGGCATCCCAGGAGGAGCAGGATTGGTGCTGCTGTGTGCAGGGCACTGCCAGCCCCACAGCTGGAATCAGTCACAGGCACTGAGAGGGAAAGGATTTCTCCATTTGGAAATTGAATTTCCCTAAAGCCAGGTGGAGCTCTTAGGCTGGAGTGAGTGGGCTTGCAGCAGATCTGATGGGAGGGGAGGTTTCACTTTGCAGTCCCTGGGGCTGCATCAGGAATATGCTGCATTCCCAAGTCTCTGATCTGGGTTCTGTTCCTAATAACTCACCCCTTGTTCATTCACTGCTGTTTGCTGGGGCTCTGCTCTCGTTGCTGGGGGTTCCCTATTTCAAGGCCACGTTATTTTGGCAAAATATTCCCTGCCCTGGGCCTTCCTGCTGGCAGGAGATGCCGTGCTGTGATCAGAGTTCATCCTGTGCAGCAGCCCAGGGAATCTGAGCTCAGCTGCTGCATTCCAGGGAAGCAGCTCCTCTGTGCCACAGCCCTGGAGCCAAAGGAGGGCCAGAAGGCACTTGGCTCTCTCTTGTTGAGCCCACGGGGCTGGGATTCCCTGGCTGGATGCACAGCCATGCCTGGGAATGGGATTCCCGAGGAGGTGGAGATCTGCCCTTGGAAAGGGGTGTCACCCTGGGGTGGGACCTGTCCCATGGAGGATGCTGCAGGTCAGCTCTCCCTCAGCAACCAGATATGGGCTGGCACTTTTCCCAGCAGCTAAGGCAGGCAGGGGGCAGAGGCCACGGTCAAACAAATGCAGGGGCCCATCTGACAAGAGGAAAATGTAAAGCAGCTTTGTGGCCAAAAAAGCACAAAAATGAGGGACAGGCAGTGCAAGGAGAGGAGCTCCTGGCACTGCCTGTGGTTTCATGCTTGTGCAGAGACCTTTTGCTGGAGCAAGCTCTGTGCTTCCCTCATGGACACAGGAGCTGCAAGGGGGCTCTGGGGAGCAGAGATCTGTCCTTGTCATTCAGCCTGAGACAGAGCAGATGTGGGAGAGGAAGGTCAGGGCTGGCTGATTGCTGTGAGCCCAGCACACCACTTTGAACTGAGGCTTATCTGAGTTTTTTCAGCCTAGTGGAGAGAGCTGGGCCAGGACAGGCAGCACAGGAGTTATTTTAACATTATAAGCAGATTCTCTCCCCTAGCAGCTCAACATCAGGGATGGCATTTTGCTGCCCTCACTCCCTTGCCTGGTGTTCAGTGGTTTCCAGGCTCCTAAGGATGTTGGTTGGACATTGCACAACTGCAGGTTTGAGGATTTATGGTGGTCCTGGGAATGCTGGCTGCAGGTAATGGATGCCAAGGTGATGCTGGAGGCTGTTAATGAAGAAATGGCTTGGTTTGGATGCTGGGGTTTGGCTGGGGAGGGTTGGAAACTCGAGGCAGCTGCTCCCTGGTGAGCCCTGCTGTATGAGAAGTCCATCTGTCTGCTAAATCCATCCCTCTCCAGAGGAAGGGATGTGTCAGGTTTAATAACAGCAGTTGGTAATTTCTGCTGCCTGTGAGGTGTTCCTGAGAAGGGCTGCAGGAAACGAGAGCACTGAGATGTGAGGGCAACATCCTCTCCTGTGTTGTTACCCCATGCAAGAGCCTGATGTAAGAGGAGGGCAGCTTGCTGCAACACTCAGCCACTCATCAGCCCAAAGTCCAGCCTGGAACACCGAGAAATCCCAATCAGGAAATCAGGATTGCCCTGCTGTGCCTGAAACCTGCACTGAACTCCCTGCAGCCACCCCTGACAGTCAATTGTGGGGCTGGGGCTCTTCTCTGTCACCTCCTGGGCAGCCCTCGAGTCCTTGGGATATTTTGCAACTCCTGAAACACAGGAAGAGAGATGAGTGTTGGGGGAATCAGTGGGGAAGGAAGTCCCCAGGCCAGTTAAAACACCCATGTTTTACAAACCCACCTCTGCTGAGATGTCACGGCTGAGGTTTGCTGGGCAGTGCTGAATTTCACACAGCAGGCAGGTGGAGGGCCACAGGAGGCTGGAACCCACAGTCTGCCCCTGCTCTGTGTCTGTCACACATCCTGGCCGTGCCTCGGGTGTTTGGGACATTTCCTCTTTCACAAGAGAGCCCAGGGCAGCGAGGGACAGTGAATTGTTCTGGGGGAAAGGGAACGCTGGCAGCTCAGTGCTCTCCTCCAGCAGAGGGAACTCACGATCCCATTGCCTGCACGAGGGATCCTGGAAGCTTTTGGGAAGGGGGGTCCTGTTCCCTGGGCTTGGGAACAGCATTTTGCTGTACTCCAGGCAGGTTTGGGGTATCCCACAGCTGCTTGTAGTGTGTTTTTACATCTCCTCTAACCCAGTCCAGGATGAACTTGTTCCCTGAAATCCAAGGCTGCACAACTTGGTTTAAACACCAGTGCAATCCACAGAAAGAATGGGAGAAAATAACACCTCAAGGACAGGTTGTGAAGATGAAGGGGGTTAAATTGAGCTCTTGCTGCAGAGTGCACTGAGAAGCTCAGCACCTGCCCTGTGTAAAATCAGGCACTTCCCTCCATCACACCTCTGCTGGTGCTAAAAATATTGATGAAATGAACCTAATTCTGGGTGTGGGCAGGGGTTCTTAGGCTCAGGTGGTCTCAGTTTGTATGTCCAACCTGTACTTTAATATCGATCTCTAATTAATCTCTAATAACGTCTATTAATCACTCTGCCAACCCTAACCCTAGGCAGGAAGAGCAGCCCTGGCCCAGGGCTGGTTCCAAGGAAAAGCCATGGAGGCAGGGATGTTGTGGCAGTTTTGTGCTCCCCTTGGGACGCCTTTGGCAGCTGTGGTGTCCCCCTGAGCCGTCCCTTCCAGTGCTGCTGGCCCTGAGCAGTGTGTCCTGGAGATCTGGCTCAGGATTTGTACAATTGTCAGTGGTGCTGCTTCCCTCTTGTGGTGTGCCACCGAGGTGGTACTGCCAGGGTGCCCCTGGGCTGTGGGAAATGGGTCTCAGCCAAAGAACCAGTGGGACAAAGCCTGGGAAAAGCATGGATATTGGCTCCAGTGGTTGGGCAGTGGAGCTGAAAGCAGCTCTCTGTGGGCTGATTTCATTTTCCTTACTTGCCTCTAAAGGGAAGAAAGTGTCTTGGGCAAATTTATTGCTTGTTAAGTCCTCTTCACCTCCATCTTTTCCAGAGCACCTGAAGAAGTGCAGAGGGAAGCAGCAGGCTCTCTGTGAGCTCCCAGCTCCAGGTCACCCCCATGGATTCCTGCAGGATCCCTGCAAACGCCTCCAAGTGCAGCGGGAACACCATGGAGTGCTTCATGGTGCTCAGCACGCAGGCACAGAAGATAAGCATTGGCATCCTGTGTGGCCTCTTTGGGACAATGTGTGTTTTTGAGAACTCTCTGGTGCTCTACCTGATTTTCTCATCCCCTGGGATCAGGAAGAAGCCTTCCTACCTCTTCATCGGCAGCCTGGCCCTGGCTGACATCTTGGCCAGCATCATCTTTGTCTGCAGCTTCGTGAACTTCCACGTGTTCAACGAGGCTGGTTTCTCCAAGGAGGTGTTCCTGCTGCAGCTGGGAGGGGTGAACACGTCCTTCTCAGCCTCCCTCAGCAGCCTGCTGCTCACTGCCCTGGACCGCTACCTCTCCATCAGCCGGCCCTCGCAGTACAAGCTCCTGATGACCAGGAAAAGGGCCTGGACAGCCCTGGCAGTGCTCTGGGTGACCTGTGCCACCATTGCTGGCCTGCCCCTGCTGGGCTGGAACTGCTGCACGCTGGATTCCTCCTGCTCCGAGCTGTTCCCCTTTGTGGATGACAATTACCTGTCGGGCTGGCTCTGCTGGGTCGTGGTGCTGCTGGGCTGCATCGTCTGCGCCTACGCCCACGTGCTCTGGAGGGCTCGGCAGCACGTGGCCTACATGGAGCAGCACCAGGCACAGGCAGGGAAGCAGAACAGCAGGATGAGGATGGACGTGATGCTGGCCAAGACCCTGGTGATGGTGCTGGCTGTCCTCATGCTCTGCTGGTCCCCCGTGCTCGTGCTGATGATCTACAGCATCTTCGGCAGGCTGAGCGACCGCCTGCGCAAGGTGTTCGCCTTCTGCAGCACCCTCTGCCTGCTCAACTCCATGGTCAACCCCATCATTTACGCCCTGAGGAGCAAGGAGCTCTTCTCCTCCCTGAGGAGGGTGCTGTCCCACTTCAGGAGGCAGCTGAAGGCCCCTGAGGAGAGCCCAGAAGCAGAGAGCAGCCACAAGTCCTCCGTGATAGAGACCGTCTGCGAGGACACGCGCGCCGTGTAGGGAGGCACCGGGGGAGATCCACCCACTCAGCCTGCAAGGAGCAGTCTGGATCACTTTTCTTTTTATTTTCTCTTCTGATGGGAGTTGAGGGGTCAGCTGTGATGGGGAGACAGCTCCTGCTGATGTCACCCTTCAATGCTGGGACATGACGTGCACAGACTTTGCTCTCAGGCACCCGTTGGGATTGTTGGGGTGTCCTGTGCAGGGCCAGGACTGGATGGTCCTTGGGGTGTCCCTTCCAGCTCGGGATATTCCATGATTCTGTGATAATCTCCCACCAGGGGAGGTTCAGATTGAGCATCAGCAGGAATTTCTTCATGGAAAAGCTTTGGAAGGAGCTGCCTAGGGAGGTTTGGAGTCCCTGTCCTTGTAGGTGTCACCTGGATGTGGCACTCAGTGCTTTGGGTTGGTGACAAAGTGGGGACTAGTCACAGCTGGGACTCGATGGTCTGGGAGGGCTTTTCCAGCCTCTCCCTGTGGCTTAAGGACTTGGCCAGAGCTGGGGCAGACAGGACCTTGCAGGCAGCACATTTCTTCCAGCAGAATTTAGAAGAACTGACTGAGCCACATGGGTGTTTGTGCGATCTTATGTGATTAAACATACAAGCCATTTTCCAGGACTTTCTTCCTTTTCTTTCCTGGTGTACAAAGTTCTCCAGGTGACAAGGTTAAGCCCAAACTGGGGCAGATACTTTGAGCATGAGGAACCTGATTGGGGTTGTTTTTCTGCAAATTACGCAGAAGCAGCACTTCTGACTGAATGGACAATGAAATGGGACAGGGCCATTCACTGGTGACCTGGAGCAGCTGGGCTCCTGCCAGCCCCCAAAATGCCTCCAACAGGGATGAGCCTGCCTGGGGCACGGCCACGAGGCCCTTGCACTCTGCCCTGTGTCCCAGAGGATGCAGTGCCCAGGCTCCCCAGGGAATGGGCACAGCCCCGAGGCTGCCAGAGCCCCAGGAGCCTTTGGACACGGCTCCAGGGATGCTCAGGGTGGATTATTGGGGTTTTGGTGGATTATTGGGGTTTTCCCTGATGTTCCTCCATCTCTTCCCAGGATATTCCTCAATTTTTGGTGTTATCCCTCCATCCCTCCCTGGGATTGTTGGGGTTATCCGTCTATGCCTTCCCAGGATATTCCCCGATTATTGGGGTTATCCTTGAGGTCTCCACATCCCTCCCTGGGATATTCCCTGATGGCTGGGGCTATCCTCAGTGTTCCTCCATCCCTTCTCAGGATATTTGCCGGTTGTTTGGGTTATCCCTCCATCCCTCCCCGGGATATTCCCTGAATATTTGGGCCATCCCCGATGTCTCCCATCCCTCCCCGGTTCATTCCCCGCCGTGCCCGCGGGCAGCTGTCGGGCCCCAGTCTCG